ACCCGCACCCCTCTGCCCCCCGCTGCCCCCCCTCCCCCACGGCCGGCCGGCTGTGCTTTGCAGGGCCCTGGTGCAGGCCTTGACCTGCCCCGTTCTTGGGGGAGGGGGGAAGGGGTATCAGTTCTGCCTGAAAACGGTTTTTCAATTTTTTATTGATTTTTTTTTTTTTTAATCTTTGCAGGCTGTTTTTCCTTCTCGGGGCACCGAAGTAGCAGCGATGGAGAGCCAGGGAAATTTAAGCCGCCTCCAAAGCCTGTCATTATCGACAAGCAGAGACAGATGATGGAGAGGAGGTAGGATGTCCTGGTGTTTGTCGCAGCGGATGATTAAGTTCAGCTCTGCTGTCAGGTTGTTCGTGGTGTGAGCACATCCTGAAAACCCGAGGCATTACCGCACAAATATATTTTCTAAGTTCTAGCAGCAACAGTTTCTGTTGAAGCATGCTTAAAATACCCCGAAACACTGTGGCCTGCATTTCCCCAAAGTAGCAAAACAGGAAAAATTATATAGCAGTAGACATTTTTACAAATTTGGTGGTAATATGCCAGATTTTCATTGATTAAAGATGTGCATCTCTTCAATATGCCACAAGTTGTGAGGAGCATGGGTCCTCTATCTACCTTTACCCCTGGCCGTGAAGTCATCTGTCAGCATGTTATTGTGTGTGAAATGGAGGTGATATCAGCAGTAATAACCGTTCTGAGACTTGTTTTGTCCCGAGTATTTTTGTTGTCACCCGTTTGTGTTGCTTTAGATCACACAGTGGTTAAAACAGCAGTGTTATGTCTGGAAGGAGAGTGAGGATACAGTGTTGTGTATCTTTGCAGAACAAGCAAAGCATGTAAGCAGCCAAAGACATTTAAAAATTTAAAAATGAGAACTGTGAAATATTCCACTCAGTCTGCTTCTTGTATTTGTTTCAGATCTGTTAGTAGAAATAACTTTAAGAAGTGAAGAGTCCCTGTGACTCTCCTAAAAATGCAGCCTAGGAAACAGTAGCTAGACAGAAAGGGGAACTACATTTAAATAGCATGTTTTACTCTCTTGGGCATGTGTAACTTTGCATGAAGATGAAGAGTAGTCCTGATGTCATTTACAGTCTGTGGAGCTGCCTGGAGGCAGCAGCGCTGACCAGGACCTCTGCATTGCCACATGCAATGCCTTGTGCTTCCCCCACAGTCCCTCAGGTTTGTAAGGCAGGCTTGCATTAATCCTTCTTTTTTCAGCTCCCCATTGTTAGCTTAAAAAAAAAAAGGCTGGAAAAATCCCTTGTGGATAATAAAAAAAAATAAAAAATAACTTCATGAACTGCAATTCTTAAGTCTAAGATAGTAATAAGCAGAGGTGGTTAACAGATAATTTTTCATTTGTAGGCCAAGTACGTGTACTTCTCTAGTAGTTTTTATGCAAATGCTTTTATTTTGTACTTCAAATAATTTTTGATTTTCTTATAGGTTCTTGAGCCCTGAATTTATACCTCCCAGAGGGAGAACAGACCCTCTTAAGTTCTATATAGAAAGAAAGGATATGATACAGAGACGAAAAGTCTTCAACATCCCAGAGTTCTATGTTGGTCAGTAACAGCGCTAAGATGTTGATAATTCTGTTGATATTGTTCACTGGATAGGGTAGCAAAAAGTGTAGTCTGAGGCTGTAGAATATCTAGTGTCAGCTGTTAGATCAACTAGGATATGTGTTGCTATACATACTGGTTCATATTTTAGTTTCATATTTACATCCAGCTTTTATTATAACAGAAAAGTCAATGTATTTCTTATGTGTTTTTTACATGCTGGCACTTCAGGACACAGTTAACCAGGAAAGCTCAAGGGAGGAAAATATATTAGATTGTTCATATTCGGTTAGGTAATGAAGAGTAAAAGATAAATAGCGCTAGTTTAAAGGTGAAGAAACTTCACAGTTAACCTGCAGAATCACTTTAACACTTATTAATTCAAGATGTATTAAAAGTTTGTTGTGTTTCTGGTAGCTTTATTGGAAGATAAAACATTTTCAGAATAAATCTGTGTATGCACACTTCGTCTGACTCCTTTCCTATGTGTTGATATGCGTTTACCTGACTAGTCCCTTCTTTTTGGCAGGCAGTATACTTGCTGTTACTACTGCAGATCCGTATGCCAACGGCAAAGCCAGCCGGTTTGTAGGCATCTGCATTCAAAGAGGAGGAAAAGGACTAGGTGCTACCTTTGTGCTTCGAAATGTTATAGAAGACCAAGGTGCGTTTCTAACAGAGATAGATAGTTCTTATACTAGAAATGTTAAGCAAAGAATGTAGTGTTGAAGTTGTACATTAAGGAATATCTAGTGCAGAAGTTCAGTCTGCAGAAAGAATGACAGTAGACTAAAGCAAAATCATAAGTCACCTACTAGTGGATACTTCAAGTTTAAAAACAAAACTGTGTATAGGTGGAGATGTTGATGTGCCCTACATTTGAAAGCGTGAAACTGCTTAGGAATTTTATATCCATATACTTAGTAATTTTGTATCTATATTCTGATGAGACTGAATGTGACCCACTTGTGTTTGAGCGTGGAAGTCTAAA